TCAAATGCTAACACCTTGAATCGCAAAAGTAGATCTGTTATTTGAACCGTTGGAAACACTGCGTAAAGTCGATACTCCTTTTTCATTTATTTGACACGTAAAGGCCCAGTCAAATGCAGGACCTTACAGTTAATCTGGCACAAGTAAACTGAAATGCCAGGCAAGCCTCAATAAACCACCATTCGTGATTTAAGATTGGTTACCCCCCTAACAACCTTTGAAAATAGAATTTCTAATCTAACTTATTAATGACGTTATGGACTTATATTGCAGTGCAATGAAGCCTTTAGTTCATGGATGTAGCACTAAAACTAGACCTTCTAGATCAGGGGGGGTTTTCAAAGTGTGGGAAGTGAGCCTCCCCCCTCAGAGAACATATAGAAGAGGCGCGCCGCCCCCCTCCAATTATTATTGCTATATTATTATTATTATTATTATTGTTGTTGTTGTTATAATGCAGGGGTATTCAATTGCATTTCAAAGAGGTCCAGTAAGAGAAAAATGTCATTAAATGCTGTTAGCGCTCCGTCTACCTCTCTTTGTTTTTAAGCACGCCATTTGAAATGACTCCGACTGTTTCTCTCTTCTTGTCTCGTGTCTTTGAATCTATCGTGCTCACTGATTGCCCCGATTTGATTGGCTGAGTAGCCTCACCTCCTTAAAACATTAAACAATAACTTTTTTAAACCTTTTTATCTTTATGTTTTAAACTTTAAAAAAAAAACATTTTTAACATTTTCAACATCGTGGATAAATCCTTATATGCTCCCGGCAACACACTGAACGTCCACTTTGCCTTCTTATTACACTCACCCCTACTTTAGTGGGAACAATTAGTCTGCGTCTTTGATGCGCACAGGCGGATGATGCAGGGATGCAATGCAGACAGGAATAAACGCAGATCATCCTCTGGCTGCAGCCTTGACCGGTACTTGCTTTTGATCAAAGTCAATGCGGAAAACCTGCACTCACACAGGTAGGCGGAGGCAGGGGCGGACTGGGACTAAAAATCAGCCCTGGAATCTCACCCAACCCAGCCCACCCCACCCAAATTGGTAGAGCACCCCTGAAGCTCTCTGGCGCCCCCACAGGGAGGCACGCCTCACACTTTGAAAACCGCTGTTCTTGATTGTATTCAACCTTCTCATCTACATCTGCAAGCCAACGCAACCCCTTAACAGACAATTAATTTCCAATGGTCATTTTAAGCAAATAATCTAGCAATATCCTTCCCAGGAAGATAAAAACACAGCTTTTCTGCCATATTTCGCAGGGATATACGTCTGACACTTACCTTGATTTGTCCTCTTCCCTCAGTCTTCTCCACCTCGGCTGAAACTTCTTTAATGGTTTTTCTTACAGCAGGGTCCCTGATGGCCTCTTCCTCTTCATGGGTTACCTTGTTAGGGTACACCTTTTTCTGTGTAAAGACAAATACATATATACAAAACATTTCCCAATATTGTGCATTTAGGGCAGATTAAAAAGCCATCAATACTCACCAAATATCTGAAGCTGTGTTTCCAGCCTTTCACATGGGCAAGCATATCATGCTGCAAGCGGGAGACGGCACAGAGTTTGCACTGGTAGTGTGGTGGGACAGATTTACTGGGGCTACGGTACTCCCACACATACTGAAGACCTGTAAACAAGTCATGATCATTTTTTAAAATCCATTTGATAGAAAGAGAAGAAGGTAAAGTAGATGTTTAGTAGGGAAATGTGCCCTATGCTTACCAATGACACACTCTGTGAGCCCCTTCAACTGTTTGCTGAGAGCGGGCAGGGTCTGGATAGTTGCCCCTTTGGAGAACACTGGAAAACACAACAGTGGTTAACACAAAGCAAGAGCTTTATAGTGACACACGACTGAACAACATTCCTGTCCAGAAGACTATTTCAGCGGGACACTTTGTTATACATTTATGGGGTGACCCCTGGGATCATAATAATCATAGTTAGGAAGACACTGAAATTCAGAAAGTGTGTTAGGTTCCAACACTGCCTTCATTGTCTGGTGATGACCAATTAATTAGAATTATGTGCGAACTGAACAACTTATAGAAACCCAAACTCCTGTGTGCCTTTGAAGCCAGAGGGAAGGACAGGAACAGAAGTTCTCCGCTAACCCCCATTTAGGCTTTGATGCAGGGCATCAGCTCCCGTAATGTACCGTCTCTCACTGTGTCAACCACAGAAGAATCAATTCTGTGTTGCACTAAGGAAGCAGTCCTAATGTTTGAACGCAATAAAAGTTTAGTAAAGGTTTACTTAGATAAAAAAAATATTAACAGCATTCAAGCCTGTGTAGCACAGGCAACTGAATACCACAATGAATACTGCATCCAGCAGTCTAAAGAAGTTTTTCTGGTGAGCAAAAAAAGCACAAGAGCACAAAAAGTGCAACAAAACTTGCAACCATTGCAGCCGCATGGTTGTATTACTGTATGTGCCGCTGCTTTAGGTGTCACGAGGGACTACTGGAGCTTATGGTGCTGGTCTTATAATGTAGCAACATTTTAGGAGAATGGGTTGAAATTTCTAAAATTGTTCAGAACATCTAAATGTTGAAAAAAAAAATCTACAATAGTAGCATTATGGCAAGAAGATACTGGAAAAGGTTTTGCAAGATTATTACTGCAAAACCATGTATGGCACCCAACAGCCCCCACCTCTGAGAGTGTCAGTCTCAAAAAGTGGAGAACATTCCACCACCCATGAAATGAAGCAGGGAAATCAACAAGATCTCAAGCTTCTCCTCTTAGCACTGGCAGTGGCACTGTGTATAAATGACTTACCTATATCAGCAGAATGCTGCGGCTGCTTTCTCTGTCAAAAGGAGGGAATTAACCCACATGAAGGAGAGAGACACATACAGGCATTAGTGACAGGATAAGACTTAGTAGAGGACTGATTATTCTTGTCCATGTCCGCCACACTATATATGCCATGGAGCCATTATTTTCCCATGTTCCCCAGGACGTCTGCATCAAGCAGCAACAGTCAAACAGACACATTATTAAATAGTGTCTGAATCATGTGAGAGACTTGATACACTTAAATGAAGACAAGTGTAATATTCAAACATTCCACAGTGGTCAAATGAAAGAAGCCTGAGATCAAGACCTCAGTAATTTCCCAATGAGAATGAAATTAAAATGTTGCACCAAGTCTTTGCTCTTCTTTTCCTGTGTTTTCTTCCACTGTGTATTTTGGCCTTACACCCATTGTGGGTGTGCATCCAAGTTTGACAGGTGAAGTAAGCAAACACAAATAACAAAACATTCACCCCTTTTTCCTAAAGAGGGGCAAATAACTAGCTCCTTCAAAACGTTGTAGCCTTGATTTATGTTTCTCTCAGGAAACCATCATGGCATTTACTCAACCTGAGACAAATTGAATTTCATAAGGGAATTCCAAATGTTCCATTTGGCGCAAATATCTCTCACGAAAAAGCAAATTCACAATTGTAACATTTATATTTGTTGCAATAAAGAAAAGTGCTGTTTATTGATAGTCTTGGTTTGTAGCGGGGGACTTGCATATTAAATGTAAAAATATGCTATTAACCGTTTTATTTTTTTAAAGAATCCCACAGGGAGCCCTGCTAAACTTTAGCCATTTTTGGTTCACAACAGGACTGCTCTCAGAAGTAAAAACTGAGAAGCTTGCCCTTAGACTTTGGTTCAGTGAACCCAAGTCTCAGAAATAGAAACTTTAAGCTGTTTCAGTGAACTGAAGAAATGTTGGCATTTTGAGGTCAACAAACTAAACTTTGCTAAACACAGACATTCCTTTGAATCACAATAGCGATAACAGGCCACATATGGAAGGCCAGGACCACTGAGTGGGCACGTTTTAAGCCTGAGAGCACACGGGCTGGCACCAAGTCCACCTGCAAGGACTGCTGTCGCCTGGCTCTCAAACACGCACCACAACAGCCAGTGCACATTATCATTAACACAACAATCATGGTTTCTTTATGAGAAGGCAGCATCATGTGCATGTTGTTATATGAGTTTAGTTTTATAAGTTGTGTTGTTTTCAGCTGAGTGCCGTCTTACCCTGTTATTTCTCTTTGGATTGGACTGCGGCCCATTTCTAGGTGGATGCTTGTTAGCTGAAGAATTAGCCTCCATTTCCTTAGTTTCTCTACTGTAAGACAAAGAAAGAGATTGTATCAAAAACATTTATAAACCAGGCAATTAATATTCTACATAAACACGCTCACATGCGTCCATGTTATCTTATCTGAGCAGAAACTCCTTGCGTTGTTTGGTTTCAAACATGGTTTCAACTGAGGCCCAGCCGAGGCTTAAATAAAACGGCTTTTTGTCAATCATACGCTAGCTGTGGACGCAACACGCAAGTCTATACACCAAATATCATATGTATCTCCACTAGTTAAAGGGTAATCTAATAAAAAACTTACCTGATGTATTTTAAAACAAACAGCGAGTTTCTCCAAGCACAAGGTCGGCAGCGCAGACTAGCTATGATGTTAAAAAACAAAGCAGCCTCGAAACCAATGGGCAAGCGGCGCTTCTGCCAGTTTAAAAAATACGATATTGGACAATTTTACCTCAGCATTATAAAACAAAAACAAACATACCCTCTTAATACATCTGTATTAGTGTAAGTTACACTAAATCATCCAATATCGGGCATAGGACATCTATCAAATATATAATTTACTTTATTAATTCCTTATTATAATATTGCTAAGGCACTTGTGAGGACAACTATGTAGTGCGTTTGTTTTGTGAGCCAGGGTATACCGTTGTAGCTTGTTGGAGCAAAATTGAACACTTTTATATTTCTCAGACACTTGGTGACAACTATTGTATTTTATTCATCTTTAATGAAAATTAAGTGCCTAAAACATTGTATAAACAGCAACAGGGTTCACAGCTAAAGAGGTTTTTAATTATAAGCCCCGCAGTGGCTGTGCCAACATCTCACCGGGTGCGTTTGATATGTACACACAGTCCAAGGACCCGACGCATCAGCACGAGATTGTAGACAGAACAATTTATTTCATATGTATTGATCATTTTTTGCAAGGGGCAACCTTTTAACGCTAGACACCGAGTGTGTGTTTGATGTTATATAAACTTACCACTACATAAGCCAATACTTTTTCCCTTTGGTAAGTAAAATAAACGATCTGTCCTGCATGCTGCTGACCATGGTACGTCATGGTTAGCTACAAGCTAGCTAACGTTAATACAGGTGCAGAGTTTTATTTTTAATTGAACGCTGTCCTAGTCTGACTATTCGGAGAAAACATTTGCTCTTTGTACTGTTTTTTCTAATAAATGTATGTTTACTTTTCTTTAGCGGTCCATTCCAAAGGTTGTGCAAATCTGAACTTTTTCAATATAATAATAATCATTTTCAGTACCATCCATTAAGGAGCGTTTCATCTCTTAGTTTATCATGCAAGGTTACAATCAACTCAACTAGAGACATGTGGTTTTTACTTGACAAGAACAGTATGAAAAATGGTTAAGTAGAAGAAACATGTAAACACTAAAGCATAGTACAAGTACCTAACATGTGTACTATAGTGGAGTATTCGAATAAGTGTACACAATTACATTGAAATTGAAATCAAAGCACTCATTATGTCACTTTTATGTTTTGGTTATGCAGACCGCAGTGTAGACTGCAGAGATGAAGTCCAAGAAGAAGAAGAGACAGGATGACTTCCAGAAAGTTAAGTTAAAGGTGGGAAAGACGAAACCCAAAGCTGATAATGCCACCAACACCAACTTCCGCTCAAAGGGAATTCATCTAACTGAACAGCTAAAGAGAGACACAAGCGGCCCAACCACACACAGACAGCTTGGTTTGAATGTAAGTTATTCACCTATGTTTCACTTGTATGCAAAAGCATGTTTTCACTACAAATGCATTTTTGGAATAATACAAATGGTATGCTTTCCCTTTTCCTCCTTCACCAGGACCTCATGTCACAACTCCACCATTACAGTGCCAATATCAAACATAGTGCCTTGTTGGGTCTGAAAGAGTTGCTGTCCCTTAATCCATCTCTGTTAGAGCAGCAACTCTCTCGCCTGGTTTCTGAAGTTGCAGCTGTTTTCACAGACAAGGATGGCAATGTTCGTTTGGCAGCTACACGTGTGCTCAGGTTAGGAAAGTAACAGTAATACAGAAATCTAATCGTACAGTAAAGATAATATAAGATAATGGCTTAACTGTTTAAAATGATGCTCTTCATCCAGGTTCATTGCACAGTCGGTGCCTGCAGAACGAGTGGCTCCTTTTTCCCCCGTCCTCAGTGCCCATCTCTCTTGTGCGATGACCCACATCGAGATAAGCATCCAGGAGGACGCCATGAAGATCCTTGATGTGTTGTTGGAACACTACCCTGCCCTGCTAGCAGCAAGGCCTGCCGTTCTCCTCACTAACTTCCTCGAGTTGATCTCTCACAGACAAGGCAGTGGAGGTTCCAAAAAAGCCCAGGACCCTAAGGCGCGGAACTGGACACTGTCAGTCAACCCTAACAGGACTGTGACTAGTCAGCAGTGGCGGCTCACTGTGCTCCTTAGGTAAGCACACAGATTCTAAAGAGTTAGTTACATTTGACTTCTAGCTGCTAAACTCTTGTTTTGTATTTCAGGCTTGGGCGCTTTCTGCAGGCAGTAGTTGAGGAAAGACCAGTGGAGGAAAGTGATATTTTTAGTCCAACTGAAGGAGTATTTGGCTCCAGTGGAGAGGGCCGGCTAATGCCTCTGAATCTCAACTGGGAAGAGCTCACCTACAGCAAGGTCGGGGTGAAGGTGTATGAGCACTCTGGGGCCAAACCAACTCCACGGTCCACCTTTAGACTCAGGTACAATACCACAAACTCCTGCAACCCTCAAGGAATAGGAATCAGAGACAAGATTTATTTTAACGTATGACATAACAAATACTTTACTTTGTTTGAGTTGACTTGAAATACTATCATTGTTATAGTAGGGCTGTACCTAGTTTGAGGTTTTGAAGCTTTATCCATTCAAATTCTAAATCTAAATTGAAATGCTGCGCAGCTTTTTCTTTTAAACTACATGCATTTGGTTCAAACCTGGTATTTGTGTACAGTTGCAGATAAAAATAAGGCCACATCAATATAATGTATGTATTAGTGTACTACTTTAAGTATTATAGACTTAGATTGCTTAGTTGGCTGGCTGTATAGGATTGTTTCTGACTCATGTGATCTGAACATTTTAATAAATTCAGAGTTGTTCAAAAATATTTTTTAAATTCCCAGTTAAACATATTATTCTATATATTATTTATGTGTATAAATATATGTTTAACATGTTCTTTATTATATTCCCTGGCCGTGTAGACCAGAGGTTGACACTGGACCCGCTGTGGGGGAGGATTTGGACTCAGCTGAGGCTGTTCAGAGCTTTGCAGCCACACTGGTGCCTCTCCTGCTGGAGGTGTGGGTGGAAGCCAGCACCAGTGACTCTCCCTGGAACAACTCTGAGGGCGCTCACATGCTCAGCCCTGATGCCATGTCAGTAATGTTCCAGGTGTTGTCTATCCTGCAGCTGCTGAGGAAACTGGCACCACAGCAGGAGCACCAGGATGCATTGGTGAGGAGAGGAAAAATATAACACAGTGGTCTTTTTGTACAAGAAAGTAGTAACTTAAAAAAATGCCTTTCTTTAGGATGCATGGTTTTATAAAGAATACCTGGGAGATTTTAAGCAGCACTTCATGAAGAACTTTCCCTATGATGCTCGGGACACACCCAGACATAGAAAGAAGGTAGATCTCAAAAGGTAAGGAATATTTGAGTGAATATGTCAAGAAAACATCCTTACTTATTGTTTTTGATCATCCCAGTATAAACGACCCAGGAACTGGATTCGTAACTTCAGTTTTATAAATCTTTTACTAACTTCTCTCATGCCACTAACTATTCCTTTAGGAGTAAGCAGACTGCAGTCGTCCCGGGGTTGACGGTGGAGCCTCTGGCCCTTAACATCACACTTTGCCAAGTCATGGTGTCCCTCAGCCAGAGACAAGGACTCGGGCGAGAGACAGACGGAGACTGGCTGACGCCTCTGAGGACGTTTGTCCGAGACACTCTGGGCAGCGGAGTGAAACTGAGCTACAGGCAGCTGCACATGCTGCTGGGCACTGTGTGGAAGATGGTGCTCACACAGAGGAGCAAAAGTAAGCATGTGCTGTGAGTTTGTGAAACAGTGTCTGGTTTTAATAGACACAAAAGCATGAGGTCAATGAGATTAGTGGAGTTCAATGTTATTTATAAAGCAATTAGGGACACAGGACAAATCCCCATGTTTAATAGATATAAGGTTTTTTCAGTGCTTTATGACAAGAGGATTTGTTAGTATCCTGATACTAGTGTTTTAAATAGAATATATTTGTATTGTAATATCAGTGTTTCCCCTAGGATGGAGTCGTAGCAGCGGCGCTAAGGCCCAGCAAAATGTGAGCGCGGAGCGCTTGGTATTTCTTAGTGCGTGCGAAGTGCGCCCCGCCAATATGTTTCTGTGTCTGCCAGCACAAGAAAGGCTCTTGAGGCTCTACATGTGTATTTTGCTAAATCACCTTTATTGAACATACAGTAACACAAATCTACACATCCACATAACAAACAATCAAAATAAAATGTATGCAATTTAATTATTTGAACCTGCTTTATTTGGGGGGGACATGCACCCCCGGGACGATTTTTTAAATGTTGAAGTGAAATGCATCAATCTGGTGCACTTTCAGCACAAAATGAATTTATGGATACAGCTCTCAACACTCAGATGAAAGGGAGCTGTATACTTTTCAATAATCCAAACATCTTTAGAATATGATCACAACCAATAACAAATCATTTAAACTTGTTTATTCTTATCTTATGTTACCTAGTTAGTATTCTTTCTTTTTCTTTATGCATATTTTACTAATCCCTCCCCTTTTAAACTGTTTTTTTGTACGGTCCTATAGTACACATTGGAATGATTTCTTAATTTATTTTTTACAACTATGTTAAATAGATAAAGGTGTGCTCTCTCTGAATGTACATAGAGGAAACACTGAATATTAACATCAATGTGTTTGTGTTTGTGCAGCAGTGACAGATGACCTGTTGGCAGCAGTGTACGTTTACTATAAGCAGAGGAACCTGACTCTACAGACCCGCTCTCTGCTGCTGTCTTTCTACAGCAAGCTCTACCTGCAAGAGCAAGGACACACACACATAGCAAGGTAACCTCTTTGTTGAATAGGACCTTCAAACTGGAGATTTAAAGCACATGCTGCTCATTGTATCACAGCAGTAGTAACATATGTAGGGTAACTGATTTGTATATCAATTTATTTTTGGTGATTTAAAATCCAACTAATAGAACGTTACTTTCAATACCTTAATAATGTTAATAATCTCACAAGCTCAGCTTTTGTGCATTTTGAGCACAGCCCAATAACTTTTGGGAAGTATTTGAGATTGAGCATTGCGTCTTGTATTGTCTACTTGAAATTGATGCAGCACAATATGAGCCTAATATGCAAAAGGTTGTCTAATATCGCAATAGTGATGTTAAATGCAATAAGAAAACAGATTTCAAAGTGCAATCACTTCTGCCATTCAGAATTAAAAAATAGTGCAAGAAACCAAAAACAAATAGCTTGTTACAATAAATATTTCCAACATTTTAACATTATTTAACTAATATAATAATGCAAACAATACAGAAAGGATGAAAGATATAGTTAACTTTAAAGTGCAGTATTCTACTCATGTCTCTCTCAACTAATGCAAAAATACCTGATTGCAATATTTCAATATATATGCGGTCATATATATAATGACGTCTAACTCAACTGATCCAGGAATATGTCTTCATGAAAAAAAAATGGATTGTTATTCTTGCTTGCAAAGGAAGTGGACGACAAAGACATTTTTGCCTTTGGGAATTTAACAACAGTACCCTACTTTTTTTGTGAGGCTTTTAAAAATGTAAAGAAATCATATTGACAAAATGTGTCTATGCAAAAATAGTTTTACGGACTCACAAATACAAATTCTTAAGTTTCAAAAACCTTTCGCTGCACCTTTCAATACCTGTTTGGTTCATGTGTGCCTCTGTATGTTATTCTCTGTAGGAGCAAGGTGCTGTGTCGTTGGTTGGCCTCTCTTCCTGTGCAGTTGTCCCAGCTGGGCCACCGTAACCCCACTCTCTCTGAACGACTCATCCTGTCCATCCAGGCTGCCGCTTCTCGAAAACACAAAGACCTGCTCAAGAGTCTGCTCACAAACGCCTGCAAGCTCTACGGTAAGCACAACTCGATCAGAGGCACAGACAAAACGACCAAGATCAGACCATATCAGATGTCATTTCTTATATTGAATTTACTTATCAGATTCATATTGCTCTAATGTTTCTTGTATGAACTTGTTGCCCCTCTGGACACATCCACTCAGCCTGTCAGGGGTTTTCCATCAGACGGCACATTTCTGTGGCAGCACTGATCAGGGTCAGGGGTTAACGTTTGAAACCCAAAGAGTGGTAGTAGAATAATAGAAAGTAATCTTTTCTTTTTCTGGTTTTGTTAAATACAATTCCAGATCAGTCATGACTTGCGCTTTAAGCAAGATTTTTTTTTTATTTCAATATTGTAAGAAATACATACTTCTTTTCAAATGCATTAACAGTTTAATATGAAAGAGAATGCAGAAACAATATTCATTTACTAAAGAAAAAAGATACTTAGTTACACCATAGTTTCCCTAGGCGGCGCTGTTACTGCGTGTTTCCCCCCCCACACAGCTTTGTATAAATGAACTACAACCAGAGGCGGAGAGCGGCAAACCCCTCTTCAAATCCGCTGCTCTGAGGAACGTCAGAAAGTCAAGCTGCTGTGTGACAGAGGGGGCCTGGAGTGGAGGAGGGAGGGGGGGGTCTGATAGAAACTGCCTCAGAGCCAGCAATTGAACCTCACAAGACTCCTTTTGTCTGAGCGCTTCAGACATCAGCATGTGCGTCAGAGAGAGGGAGAACACCACACTCATTATCTGAGCCGTCACTGTAGTAGCAGCTACATCCGTCTGTCCTTTTTTCTACTAACTTCAACACATTCTGGTTTTCCTGGTTTCACTTTTTCTTGATAAAGCTTCATCTTTCATCCCTAAAGCTCGTAATGACTTTTCTTTCTACGTAATAACATGCAAAGTGTGCGTCTCTGTGTGTGTGAAGACCCCCAGGAAGGAGTTGTGGTGCTGTTACCAGCAGAGTCCCAGCAGCGGATGGTGCAGCTCCTCTACTTTCTCCCCAAGATGTCCCAGTCTCTTCTGGCCAATCTGAGCTGCTGCTGCACCACCGGACGAATCTCTGCCGGCCTCGCCGCCTCTCTCATTCGTATTGTACACTTTAGGTGAGCTTGAGCATCCCCTAACACCTGCAGAGGCCACATGAACTTGTGAAAACGTGTGTTCCACAAGACACTCCTGTTTAGAAAAAGACCTTTTTGACAGTGCAGGAATGACCTTACTGCTGGAGGAACAGATAAACTTGTCAGGAAATGGTGTTGGAGAGTCAGAGCACTCTAGCCTGTCACCATCAGATGGCAGTATTGCACTTTCAGATAGAGTCCTGGTATTTTTCCCATGGGATGTGTGTAATGGGTATAATACAAAGAGCTCTTTGGGAGGCTGGAATGCTGCAGTCGTCTCAATGATAGTTATGTCTGCATGTGCCTCACGGGCTTCAAAACACACTTGTAATTCCCTCACATTTCCTACTGTTATGGATCCATCCTTCCCTCTCGACAAGGAACCATGTAATAACTATGTTTCTGTGCGTCCTTGTCCTCAATATGATTAATACTAATAATTACTTAAAAAAATGCATAGGAATGAAATTGTAATTTGGAAATTAAAGTAAGTGCTTGGTAGAAAAAGTGTGACTTTTTGAAGTTACATGATTTGCAAGCTGTGGAAATGTTTGATTCTCTTTGTGCTTGTGTGTTTTTTTTATATTATAATTAGTTGAATGTGTTCTCCAGATCATCCCTGAGTGGCTGGTCGGTTGGCAGCCAGGAAGCGGCTCTGGAGGACGTGAACTACATCAGCTTCTTGTTCTCCACCCTGACGGGCTTCTCGACGGAGAAGCTTGCCGCCCTGCAGGAGGCTGACGACGAGAGCATCCTGCCTCCCTCCCCTCTCTCACCCCTCAGCCTGTACCCCACCCCGATGGAGCAGTTCACACACCACTGGGATGTTGTTGAGGTGCGTTCACTGTCTTTCATATCACTTCCCCAAACCTTTCATACGTTCAAACTCTTACCAAAGCCGCTGCCAATCAGAAGCACTTGGGCGAAACATTAAAGAAAAACCTAGAAAGGATAAGGAGGTGGACGAAATGACATTGTTTTGAAAATGAAAAAGTGTTGATATTCTGGACAGCACTGTGGTCTCTCTGCGCCCGCTGGTCCCTCGCTGTCTCTCATATAGAGCTCAGAGGGGGGAAGCTTTATCGTGGCACTACGGCTAAGAGGGGAACCTTTATCGCGTTGCGCAGGTTGGACATGTGTGGTTATCGGGCATATGCACAAATGCTAATGAGAGCCCATGGCATGATGGGAGTGTGACATTTCTGCAAAGAAATTACAGTTAACGTAACTGTGCCCTGGGGCAAGTGTGTGTGTGAGCAAGTGGGGGGGCTTATAATCACTAATTCAGCTCCTCAATTAAGCCCTCAGATCCTGCCTTTCTCATCTCCCTGTCTGAGTCAATCACAGGCAAGTGGCAGGAAAGAGGCGGGGGGGGAACGGTGTGGCGAGGGGGGGCAACATTAAGAGATGGACTGTGTCAACTCTGGTTCAACTAATGAGACGGGATTGTTTTTAATGACGGCGAGAATGCCAACAGGTGCAACGTTCTGACACACAGTGGCCCGCGACTCACTGCTGCACCTCGGCTCGCTCTAAACTCAATTTGATAAAAGATTATGAGAAATGTGATTTGGATGTGAAGTTATGAGGGCAAAGCTGAGCCTTACATTTCACTTTTAGGAAGTTTGTTGCGGCTTTTTGTCGTCACCTCAGCAGGAATTGCATTCAGATGCTGTTTAGTGTATTTTGAGGTAAAGGCCTGACTTTATTCAGACAGGGATACAGCATAAATATCAGTGGTTTGATTATTGCAGGTAAAGCTGTTCTTTTCTTTCTTTTCTTCCATTTATCTTCAATATGATTACTGCTGTTTTAACCATCCTGTGTTTAAAGAAGAAAATGCATCTTTCCAGTCCATTGCCGTAAAAAGATTTCTACCAAAATCTAACAAGAAACCTTTATATCTTCCATTTACAAGCACAAAGCATTGTGGTCACGTTGCCTACATTTAAAGGTCTCTCCCTCTTGAAAGCAGTTTATCAGAAAAGGAATGATTTTGATATGAAATAATTTTGTTGTTTCATTCACAGGAAGTCTGCCACTGTCTGGAAACTCTGGGTTCAAAGTCTCAGTGCTTTGACATCGTACAAAATGGCATCTGCAAATACCTGGTAAGAAGTTTTGTTGAGTCGTAGTTTTTTTTTAGAGCGTGTTTTCATTCCATTTAGTTTTTTTTTTTTTTTTTGCTTTACTGATGTTTTATTTGAAAAACATGAAAACACGTTATTGACTTAACATCCTGTATATCTTGTGTGTGTGTGTGTGTGTCTCAGATCAAGTTGGGGGTAGTGCCTGACAGTAACTGTCAGGCACTACCCCCAACTTGATCTGAGACACACACACACACACACAAGATATACAGGATGTTAAGTCAATAACGTGTTTTCATGTTTTTCAAATNTTCCCGAAACTCGTAATTGTATCATCATCATCATCATCATCATCATCATCATCATCATCATCATCATTTTACCCCCCTAATTTAAAACCACATACCTGCAGATTATCTCCTCACTCATCCTTATTTTCGTACCGGATAGGAGGGTGTAGTTAGTGGCTCTTGTCACTAGATGGGGATAATGTGGCGGTTTGATGGTTTCTGTAAAGTTTTACAGCACATATATAAAAGTGATGATGGGGAAAAAAGGGTGTGCTTGGTGCTTGGTTAACCCTCCTGTTGTCTTCGGGTCAAATCTGACCGATTTACTACTTTCATCAATCATAACCTTTTTGTTTTACATTCGATTGCATTAAGGCTTTCTGATATCCTTCACAGTAGACATTTGAACATATACAATGGCTGATCACCACTTTCATTGGATTCTGGATGATTTAGTCAACTTTGAAACACCCATGGTGTTCCCGGTCAAAAATGACCGCCATAAAGAAAAGAAATGAGTAACCATCCAGATCAGATAAAACACACACACACATGCACGCACGCGCGCGCACACACACACACACACACACACACACACACACACACACACACACACACACACACACACACACACACACACACACACACACTCACGCACACACGCACACACGCACACACGCACACACAAGTGTTTTCCCGCTCTTATGTGCCCCTCCCCCCACATGGATCACACCTGGCACACACAATACATGTTCAGTGTCTATTCTTTGTATATTTACTGCAGTGTTTCATGTATACCAGTAGTCTGATACAATATGTACAGTTTGAAAGGGTGTTAAATGAAATGTGGTGATGATTAATGGTTTTTGTGTTCATGTAATAGCAGTTAAAACAGGACCGGTCACCGAGAACACCAAAGTAAGGTGGGGGGGAAACAAACACAACAAGAGGGTTAATAAGGTATTCACTTGACTTAAATGTCCTGAGATTAACCGTTATGTTATGATATCTGAGGAACTAAGACAAGGACTAAATTGATATACTCAATAAATCAACGCAACAGTGTTTTATTTTTGGATATTTTCTAATTGAGTTTTTATTTCATATTATCCTGTAGATATTCTCTTAACTAAACTTTTTAAAACTCATATCTGTTGAGTGAAAAATATCAGTACATACTTTTCAAATCACAATCTGTCTTCATACAATGTGTTCAGCCTCTTAAACATGTTACATGCAGTGTAAAGACGAGTTATAATACTTGTGTTTTACATTAGTATATTTTATTGATGTTGAATATTAAAAAGGAATACGACTTGATAAAACCCCTTTTATACATGCAATACTTAAATATGTTTATTCGGAGTTTGCTGGGCAGCATAACATTTTAATCTAAAGTGTAGTAGCCGGCAGTGGCTCAGTCAGTAGGGGCTTGGACTGGGAGCTGTAGGGTCATCGGTTCAAGTCGGTTCAAGTCCCCGACCAGACCTAAATATGGAGAGTGGACTGCTACACGGAGAGGTCCCAGTTCACCTCCTGCCCTGCCGTTGTGCCCTTGAGCAAGGCACTGGACATCCCCCTTCCCCCCTCACTCCCATTGCTCCCCGGGTGCTCTGCAATAGCTGCCCACTGCTCCTGGTACTAGACTCCTGGTACTAGGATGGGTTAAAAGCAGAGAACACATGTCACTGTGTGCTCTGCATGTGTGACCATTAAAGAGGGTTTCATCCCTCCCATTCTATCTATTCTATAGTAAGTACACAGAAACACTTCTGTGAACCATCTAATGAGACAGACATACATAACATGCAGTCGACTTGTTTACAGCCCTGCAGGGTCATCTAGTGGCTGACAGAAAAAACTGCAACATTTCAACAACGAAAAACAAAAATTAACTGTGAGTTATTTTTTCGTAGACAAGCTGAATACTATATACATCAAACTTAATCACTGACTGATCCTCCTTTAAATCTGATCCTTATGATGCAATCGCTCTCTTTCCTCGTTCAATATTGGAAATCCACCTGAGAGTGTACCAGCTGTAACTCTTCACTCTTCTATAAAACAGGTTTAGTACTGGATAATGCTTGGTTGATTATGATAACAATAACAAAGCTAATGCATTAGCACATCCTGCAGACATGGATCAACCTTCACTCATGTTATCTGTCTGGATGTACTGCTAACTTCGTCTATCTTTGGTACTGGAGAGTTAGCAACCAGTGGAGCTATCAGAGCTTTTCACTGAAAATAGCAGCCTCCTGTGGCTGGGGATGGAGTTAATAAGACCAGTGAGACTGAACAAAGAAGCAGGCCATAAAACCAAATGAAAGATGCTTAAATGCTTTAGAGACGAGGGAGACTGATGATAATTATCTGTGGGTCAACCTATCACACTTTGTAGGCCTATAGGCTAGTCATTGAATTCAGAGATAATAATGTTGATTAGTTAAGCTGCAAGATACTGTGTAGATACATAGATTGTTTACCAAGATAGACACAAGGCAAGAGAACATATTTAAAACAAATGTAATAGTTGAAATTGGCCATTCGATAAATACAGAATGTGCTTAAATCCTTAATAGACAATGATAATCACTTGCACATGTGCTATTCGTTATCATATACGTGTATTAATCATTAATTGTGGTATTGTAGTCCTTTATTTCCCGGTACAGCTGTCAAACTGGGGCCCTCCCAGCAGCAGAAAACTGACCAATCAGTGTAAACTTTCTTTGCTTCTCTGACCAATCCGAGCCTTTTAAATGGAGCCGGAAAAGGCAAAGTGGTCCTTTTTGACCCCACCCACAACATCAGAGAAATATGAGAATGAATCGCCCACGCGTTTTTATTGCTTCACGTGTTGACCATGGCTATTGACTGTAAACCACTAAATTGGCTTTATCATTCTTCCATATATTCACTATGCTCCAGATATCTCAAATAAGCCGGTTAGCTGTCTACAGATTGCCTGTTTTCGATTTCAAAGGGATCCTAAACCAAACTGCTTTCACAATATTGGCTATTTTAGTTTTTCTACGTTTTTGCGAATATACACAATTTGTTTTGTTGTGGTTTAAAACCGTATTATGAATCATTAGTAACCATTTTTCTCTTCGGCAGATGTTAAATGTTTAAAACACTATTACATTTGTGTGAAATTGTAACTTTAACAACTGAGACTTGTTTTTTTTTCTATTTGAAGATGCACAGACAAGAGCGGTTGAAGAACACTGGGAACCGTCTAAATGTGCCATAATATTGCTTTAAATAGTTTTTTGTCCATTTTAATTAAAGCCGAATGAAAAGGGGAATGCCAACGAATAACAATACCTATGAGTCATCCATTGTGACTCATGTATGTTGATCGACAAGCACATGTAATGTTAAATCCCCTCTTTTGTGAAAGGAGTACGTCACTGGGATGAGCTAGACATACTCTCATCTCTTCCCCCAGGAGGCTCTGCTTCCCAGCCCCTTTGTTCAGTGTAGCCGGTGGGTTGAGTCACAAGGAGGCTGTGCTAACAGGGGAACACCGACAAGAGTGGGAAGAGGCCGAAAAAATAGCAAATATTATCCGGCAATGCAGACTTCAACGCGTTTTTAATAAAAGCCGCACAACAGAAAAGTTGTTTTTGGGTGTTGCTGATGCTGCGTTTCTATTCGGGTCTTGCATGTCAGTGTTCGGATACCAAAATCAGCGAAACCCGTCGATAATTTTTTGCGCTTTTACCTATGCTTCTGGGTGGAAAATGAGCCGATACTGCTAAGCCATCACCGGTATATTGCTGACACCATCATCCACGCTGACTCTCCCTTTCAGTTCCTGCTCAGCATCCATATTTGCATCCCAGGGAGTGGCTGCCACTAATCCCCCTCTCCTGGAGAGAAAATTGAAAGTTGGCCGGCTGTCGGACACCCCCTTTGGACACTGTAATTTCCACATAAAGAGGTGAGTGTTTTCATGCATTAATGTGCTTTTATGTTGTTGTTTTTTTGCATGGGAGGGTTTGATGTGAAGGGCAGTGTGGACCACGTTGCCGCAGTAGCTACAACAATGGATCAAACTGGCGTTGTGTTACATTTTGTGGAGGTGCGCATTGTCATCCCGATGCTTTCATGATGTTTTCACCCACATAAGGTGTGGATTTGAGATTTAATCCAGGCCTACATGAAGAATAGCTTCGTTTATATAAAGAAACACCAGTCGTCACTCAGGGGCCTTTTATTTTTAGACTTATCTTTCAACAAAACCATCATTCTCAATTGGTTTAACAGGATTGATTGCTCTCAAAATTAAATCCATGTTAATATGTAGGTATTACATATGGGACATTATGAAATCCCTTAAATGTGCTCTTTCCTTTCTATCCTGTTGTGCAGTTTAAAGCCTCAGCCAGATGTGTGTTGTTTATTGTAGGCTATAACAGCATATCTTCCTAATGGCCTTTGAGCCTTGATTTGTAGGCCATGCTCCACTTGCGCCAGCCTACACCCACTCTCAGGCTTATTATTAAATTGATAAATTAACCATGAAAGAATGTGAGAATAAATGAGGTGTTGTTAATAATGATGGATTTACTGGGACACATGTAATGATGATCACACTTATTAAGGGCCCCTAATGCTACAGCTGGATTTCCAGATGTTAAGATAAGAGATAAAGCACTATCTTATCAGTAACCTGGATATAACTTAGGTGAAACTGGTCAAAAATAGCCTCAACATAGGTGAATATAACTACAACAAAGACAAAACTGAACTTCAAACGTAGAGCTTCTCGTAGTGGTCGTACTATTTTGAAACCGAGCCCATATCTCATTAGTTTCTACCTTTTTGGTTTACTGTAATGAGAAGCCAACGACACAAATGTAGCCAGAAATAAACCCACGGTGCTTGGATACTTTTCACTCAGTGTTATCAGTGAAGCCTTCCCAAGTTATTGGT